CCCACTCTCATGTATATCAGTTATGCAGCCCCTAAAATCACGTTTTATCCCATTTTCAAAAAGATTTTGAAATATTTATCTCTTTCATACAAATTAATCCAAATCTCATCCTCTTCACACAAATTCATCGACATTATCTCTAAAATTGCAGTAGCAAAGAGTTTTCCATTGACAATCATTAAAAAGTTTCGAAACTTTGAATTCAACATTTGGGTTTTATGAATTTGTGATTTGTTTGGATTGGCTGCTCTTGCAAATGATTGAGAATATAACTTGGAGTTTATATCTCAATTATGAGGGAGATTGGTTAAGTTTAGAGTTATTTTTAGGTAAAATTTCATATTGAAACTCGAAGAAGAAAAGTTTCTGAATTGTATCACGATTGTATGATAATTGTATCATAATTGTATCACAATTGTATCAAAGTTGTATTTGACTTGTATATGATATATCATCAATATGTAAAATAATACCTAATACAATACTAATACAATTATAATACAATATTGTATCATAATTTAAGTTTAGAGTTGTGATTGAAACTTGAAGAAGATGAAGATCAGAATTGTATCACGATTGTATCATAATTGTTGCATAAATTGTATCATAAATGTATGATAATTGTATACCGTGATGAACAATTGTAAGTTTGTGACCAATTTCACATTTCGATTGTGTATGAGCCATTATCCTATTAGTAATAATTTTGCTAGAGTTTAACAATTTTTGAATTGTTGAAGAAACTTGTAGCAATTGATTTTTTTTTTTGTCATCTTCTATGTCGTGTGTATAGATTTCTAACTGCAAAGAAAAGGTATTTTTTTGGTATCTATTATGGAAATCAGTTATGTATTATTGGATTTGTTAGATTAAGTATCACTTTCCTAACATTATAAGGATAATAGGAACATAGAATATGTAGTATGACATTATATCTAGTATTTGAAGGTTCCAACCAAAATCATTCAACAACTGAAGCAAAATTGCCAACTTCTTGTTGAAGACGTGCAACTATCGAAAAAATTAGGACACATGAAATGAGCAGAAGTGTGAAAAAAGGAAAGGATATAATTGAATCCCTTAATTGAAGGTATTAATCATGGGATGAGAGCTTTTTAAGGGGCAATGTATACAATTTGTAAGAAAAATCTAGATACTTTTTGAAAATTACAAAGCCTAGAAAAAATAATTTAATAAGTTCCTATCATAGTGTATATATAAGAAAAACTCCCTTAAAACTAATTAAAATGAAGTACAGGATTGTCCTATGCTTTAAGTGGGCGTTTGGAAAGAATTGTAAAATTCCGGAAAAATATGAAAAAGAATTCAAGTGAAAATGGTATTTGAAAATTAGATTTGTGTTTGGATATAAAAATTAGAGTTGTGTTTGGACATGAATATAATTTTAGGTTATTTTTGAATTTTTGTGAGTGATTTGAGTGAAAATTTTGAAAACAGCATTTTGGAGTTTTTCAAATTTTCGAAAAATTCAAAAATTCATTTTCAAGTGAAAATAGAAAATTTTCCGGCCAAACATTGATTTCGAAAAAAGTGAAAAACATTTCATGGCCAAAAGGGATCTTAAATAAAATCTCGTAAAAATGAGTAGTTTTGCAATAATAGTTTAATAGTTTTTTTTAAAGGTAGAGTAGTTTGAGGTATCAATAAGATAAACATGGACATCATTTCAATGAAAAATGAATTAAAATTTTTGGAACAAAATAATCGAGTTGCAACGAGAATTGAACGTGATACTTACTAGTATATAGTGTAGACTAGTGGGAATACTTCATAAAAATAGCAACTTACATTAATTTGTAAAGAAAATAAATTATTTTCTGTTGGGAGCAGCTTGCATTTTGATCAATTATGTATTGAGATATATGAGTTGATTTGTTAAACATTATGGTATCTCAGACGAAGAGCGTCGTGATCACTTTAATTTATCCTTTGGATGGCAGTAAGTTTGTTTCGATTTAGTCTTAGAAAGTTGGATATATAGCATAGCGAAAAAAATAAATTCAAGCCAAAAAAGAGGTCATATTTACTGCTAGTCTTTCAACCCACTATTTACATCAGTTACAACACCAATATGTTTTACCGGCTAACAAAAATATAAATGTACATGCCAGTAAGTTACACAAAGCGAAGTGCATGGTCCATATTTTCTGCAATATTGGAAACAAAAGGACGTCAGAAACAACAAGTGGCAACATGTTTGGTAGCTGAAAAAAGTAGGGGTTGTCCTTTGCATTACATGTCAAACACAAGCTAGCGATCTTCAAACACGTATGTACATAGCAGGAGAAGACGTATGTACATGCATTTTACAAGAGTTATAACACCCCGCGAACAAAACAGACGTAAAATCTACAATGATGCCTTTTTTCGTCAGCTAAAAACTTTTATCAGTGAATCACAATTTATATTGAAAAATATGTTACATAATCTTAGTCAATTATACCAGTACAAAGGAAATAAAAGTGCAATGTAGAAAGTATAAATCAATTCAAGCACAAGAATGTCTTAGAAAACCTGTACATATAAAGTAGTACTAAAAAGTGTAACAATACTGAAATGAACAAAATAAGTCCGCCAATGCAACAATTATGTAATATATTATCATAGGAACTTAGAGAATTCTTTTCTATCAATGAACACTAGAATATTACTGATGTTTAATGAAAGGCAGTGCACTTGAAATTTAGCTAACAATGGGTTGTCAACATTATCAACACAATAATGTATGCTAATCAGCAGGCAGATTAGGAGTCGCATGAAACTATTACTTTCTCTGTCTGTTCTTTTTGGATTGGCTGCTGGAGGGCGTTCTTTGGAGAGGATGAATGTGAGCGAATTAGAGCTTATGAATGAATATAGAATGGAATGGAATATGCAATAGCCTTTTTTTTATAATTATTTAAAGTTTCTTTTGAGTTGTTTGTGCTAACTATAATCTGCTACTCTTACGTCAATAACAAGCTCCTAAAAGTTTATCACCTTTAAGTATGGAAAAAAGTAATGAAAAAATAGAAATAAAGTTTATTAACCTTCATTCTAGTTCAGTTTGTTGCCTCTTGGTAGAAGAGCCACCTTCTGTAGTTAACTCGTTCTTCAGCTCTTTTCTGGGTGTAACTTGTTCCACATTCGAGTGACTGCTGTCTTCATTTTCTATCTCTTTCTTCAGCTCAACATTTTCCAATTTAGTGTTACGGCTCTCTCCAATTTCTTCAGAGGCGATTGGTGCGGGCAATTGAAACAAATTTTCCTTCACAGAGTAGGACACGATAAACAACCGCATGTCAGAAGTTCTAGAAAATATTTGTCTCAGTTGTATCTTGAAGAGTTTATGAGGAAGACACTATCGAACATGTTCAAGAGGTAATGGTTGTTCCTGCAGGAGAGAAAAAGATGAATTTAACACATCGAGATAGTGGTCAAAAATAATATACTCTGAATTAAATTGGATGTTTTAAGCCTATAAAGTACTTCGGATGCAGAAGCCTCAAGCTTCTATAGCCTTTAACTATCTTTTCATTAATGATGAATTTAAGAAGCCAATTGTAATATTTAAGCGACCTAAAGGAGATATTTTAGTTTTCGACAGGCATGTGGAAATGGAGGTATAAGCAGACATAATCAGTACTTTAGTAAGAAAATTATTGACAAGCTCTCTGCATCGACAGTAACTAACATTGCCAAGCAGTACAAGTCGGATGATGAACCAACAAAGCAATAATGAATAGTCGGGTAACAACTTAGGGTTAGTCAATTAACAAGAATGCATTGCTGGGAACAAAAAAGTACGTAGTTGTGTAAGGTAACATAAGTCAACATCATTTTGCCTAACACAAGCAAACAAAATCTCATTTTTTCATCGTTTTGATGCTCTTCTTATCTCTCACTCTTTGTTTTTTCTCTCCTTTTTCATCTCCAAAGAAATAATCAAGAACTCATCTTTAGGTTGTAATTTTCAGTTACCAGTGAGATTTAATTGAAGAATTTTCAAAGGGTTAATGTTAATGTCCTTTCAAAACACTTTCTTGAATTTTTAGAAGGGAGAATAAAGACATTTAAGAAGAATGGTTTGTTCTAATCACACTTGAGTAAGTATTGGATGATTTGCAGTTCTGTTTTTTAGTGTTGGTATCTGGTCCGTGCAGGTCAATTAATTAATCGAGATATCAGTTATCTCCTACAAAGGCAAACATCAAGGAAGACATAATTGGAAAAATTAAGAGTAAATTTGTTTTCACGATATCATAGTTTTAAAAAGTTTCTCCTATCGCCATCAACAAAGTACCTTAACTGAGATTATTTCACAGATATATGCGGCGGTCATATCAAGAAATTTCTCTCCTAATTCGCCTAATAATGTTGCAACAGCTGATCCACTGCCATCTGTCATTACAACCTCAAAGCGAGCCCTAATATGCAATTAATTTACGTTATTTGATTTTCATAAAGCCAATGACAGAAACCTTTTTTTGTTTGAAGATGTCGAACAAACATATTTTATTAAGTTCGTAGTCGAAGCCGCAATACCGGATGTTAACATCGTACGTTGCTTGCAGCTCGCACAATGAATAATTTTTGGCGAATGAGTTCTGTACTGCCGCCCGCAGTGGGAACACAGTAATTCATAGAAATCTTGGTCGTGAGTCGGCAGTGATAATTTACCTTCCACGTAAAAGAGTTGTATCTGTGAAAGAGGGAGATAGAAGTAGATTTATTGAGTTGGGACAAAAATACTAAAGTACTCTATATGTACACATATTAACATGCATGAAATACACATACGTGAGGTTGTGACTGGATATCAGCAATTGGGACAGTATCATTGTGTTCTGCCGCAGGCACCAGAGACCAATCAACCGCCAAAGAATTTTGCTGACTGTATCTCATCAATCTTGGTCGGTTGTCTCTGACCCTGTACGTGTATAGAGGCATTTCAATGGCAACAAAATGTGAGGTAGATTTAAAATGACACAAAAAGGTTGTGACAAACTTTAAAAACGTAGGAAAAAGTAGGAATAGGCTGTTTCAGTGACAAATTATTGTGCAGATTACACCAATAACACGGAAAATGAACAGAAAGTACCCAAAAAAAAAAATTACATCTTTTATTTGACCACAGTTATAATGCATATAACATAATTTTTCAACTGGCCAGAGCTCCAACACATAGTACATATATGGTATGTGGACATATAGTGTAGACAAATTGTAAGAATACAGATAAGAAAATATGATTATTAGCCTCAGTGACTGCAGCAGTTCCTGTTCGAAGAATAAGTTAATTTTGCAGAAATCTAGTCAACATTGAACAATGATATCACCTTATTTGTCATATTGTAGAGCAACTATCCCCAACAACCAACGCGGTGCAGTGCTATTTCATAGCTGATCAAAGGGATGCCAGTAAATATCGAAAGCTCATACAAGTACTGGTTGTTCTTACGAATGTTACATATACCATACCAAAATACTCATTGAATATGAGGGCAAAGTCACACATCCCCAAGTAATTATTTTGGTGAGAAAATTTGCATATAAGCTCTAAGATTGTAAACTCATAATGTTATATTGTAAAATGAGATGCAATGTAGTTCAAAACCATTTCAATGAAGATACACTTATATCAAGTTGTTATAAACTTGTAATTAACTGAGAAAATCTTTGAACTTATAGCTTGCTAAGTATGTCCCTTTTTTTGAGAAGAAGGGAAACACGGTAGTACAGTAGGGAATTGCATATGTTGGACCATCTAGTTTTACCCGCACATGTTTAGTTTGCATGAACTGATTAACGAAATATAAAATTTGATTATATCAATATTTGTTCCATACCAGTTTAGAAGTCTTCCAACTTGAGGATATGGTGAATTTATCAGTATGACCGAGTTGTACCTTGTCGACAATGATAATCCTATATGACACATTATGTTGGTAAAGAATTCACAATAGACCTCTTGCATACTAAAAAAAAGTGTAATGTTTTCCATACCAGCATAGTTGGTTCGCGTAATTCGTTTTGCTACAATTATTGGATATTCAGCAACCTGTGCAGCGAGGATGCTTCCATCAGCGTCGGCGAAGTCTTCCCACAGCGTAAGGATAGTAGGCCTCATACTATAGTAAAAGAAATGGACAATAAGTGACACTACCCAATAAAAAAAATACAAGTCTAACAATGTCAACAAGAGTAATAAAGCTATAAGAAGTAAGTAACATGTTTGCGCAGGAGAGCGAAGGTTGGCAGAAGAGTTTTTTAAATGATGCATCTTGCGTGTCTGAGCAAACAAATGCAGCATGACCTATACAGTTTTTTTCGGTTTGGAACTAATGACTTCTGGAGTATGTAGTTGTCACTGTATTTTCTAAAATCTACGCAGCGAATTCATAGTAAAAATATATATTTTAGGGCCCAAAAAAGAGAACAAATAATTACCTGATAGATTGCCGAGTATAAGGATTGAGAAGAGAATTTTTCTGGCTATATAGGAACTTAAGAACTTATCTAAATATTTTTTCATATGTTAATATATTGCACTTTATCATTCTTTGTTAAGTTTTTTTTGTCAACCAAATTTCTACAAAAAGTTGTAACTGACGTAGAAGAGGAAATATTGGAGCAATTGAAGAAATGAGACACGTTTATCTAATATATTAGAGTTAGCTGTGCATTAAAATCTTTTCCAATGGATGATCTTCTAAAATGAGTAACAAACTTTCTTAACACATATTATATATGAATCATGTTTTAGCTACAAAAATGACATGGACAATAGAAAAGGAGGAGTTTTGATCTCCCACTGAGTAATGAAGTCTTCTTGTGTCAGATGATAGCAGTCAATGTTTACATTAAAAAAGGCAGCAATGGACACATTAAAATAAACAGTGATAGACACATTTCAGACTTCTTTGCATTATTTTCTCGTGAGCAGTGCTGGATTTTACCTAGGCCAATATACAAAATAAAAATTTGTACTAAACCATGGTGATCACTGAAATGTTGTAGTTCAAAATGTCAAGACAAAAAAGCTGGATTATGTCTGAAAGCCTATACAATTTCTTTTTGGAGATCTTATGCCTTATTCTATTCATAGAATGATTAAATTTGTTGAACAAAACGGTAAGGCTAATGGCATAGATCAATCTCAAGGTGCAATACTTCCTGCCAACTTTAGTCGAAGAAGGTGACACCGATGAGGAGATGGCTGAGATTATAATCTCATGACATTATAACTTCTTAATTGAAGGTATCTAACCAAAGTAATCAAGTGAATAAGACGACATCGTCATACAGTATCTGGCTATATATTTGTAGCAATGTTTTTTTGCAAGCTGTAGCGAAAGTAATAAAGTAAATAGAGTGCCAACAGACTTACTCGGTATTCATTACGATGATTTCACTACACTTGTTACTATTAGCGCCAGCATACTTTATCGAGCCACAATTCACCACAATGGCAATTATGTCTGTTTAGTGGACATTGCAAGCGGCTTATAATTTAAACCAATATATACAGTCTCAAAATGTAAGGATACAAATAAATTTAGTTGTCAGAGGATTCTACGCGTGAAATAATGGTTACCGATCGTTGTTGCTCGTGCAAATATGCAAAGGGTACAATATTGAACCTCGTCGGCGGTGGGAGCGGTGGGTCTTGTATGTTATCATCTTTCACCTCCTCGACGACAGTAAATTTGTCAATAACCCATTCAAAACGGTTGATAGGTACTCAGTAGGGTAAAGGAACCCTCACTTTTGAGGTAGATATCAAGTAAGTGGAAAGCAGGGTAAGCTTGTCTGCATACTTTTCTATGTCTTCCCCGTACAGAACATCGACTACTTGCTCTTCCTGCATTTTGATAGAATGATGACTTACTCAACTACTCTTGCGGAAGTGTATCCATATAAACATATGGGGACATACAAATGCAAAATATTGAAATATTAAAATAGTAAACAAGTACAGTATGAGCAGCCTCAAACTCATGAAACACAATTGATAACAAATCTATACAGGAATTGCAATTTGTAGAGGGCTACCAAAAAAGGGGCCCGAGGTCTTATATTAGTCAGTCATAAAGCATAGCTAAAATTGTTTCATACCATTGACCTAAAGTCAGCATGACCCTTTGAACTAAAGAATGTCCCATTCTCAAATGTAGATCTCATTCAACAAAACTAAAGAGAATCCACTGTGTTGCATCACAAAATCTGAAAAATAATTATATATGTCTAAAACGTTTAAATGAGAGAAGAAACTGACTCGGGAAACTTTTTGTGACAACCCCAAAAAATCTATAAGTTTTAGCTACTTCTGTTATGAGGCCAATATTTGTACAATGATACTACAAATCAAAATAAGTCCCTAAGAGACAATTATTGTTCAATATATTATGTAGCTACAACACAACGGAACAAGTGAGCATACAAACATAGAGCAGCTACAATGATATTTCTTTAGATCTACATTTTCGCTCGATATATTAATTGGTGCAAAGTGCCTAACTATATTGTTTATACCAATATACGGAGAGATGCAAAAAACACACATGTAAAAAATGGTAAGCATGCATAAAATTCAAATGATATGATGACACATGCAGTAATTATTTTCAAAAAGGCTTCCTAAAATCCAAACCGGTAGCTCCCAGAATGTATAAAATTTAGTAGAACTGGTTAGTCATGTTAGTAGCTAAAAATAATTATATGTAAATGAAGGAAAATTTCGAACGGGGCAAGTGCATAAAGTAATGCAAAAATATCCTTTTAGACAAATCAAGGGTTAAATGGGCGGAAGTAATTAATCCATAACAGAAACGCAAAAATTTGGTAATCCAAAGAGGCTGGGCAAGAAAATATCAAGCATGAGTGAATGGTAAATGCGTAAAATCTGACTTCAGAGAGCTCTTATAATATTTACTTCTTAACATATAGTTTGCGCAAGGAGAAATAAAAAACTGTATGATAACTTAAGGTGATAAGTTTCTTTCTTTAGTTTAAATTAAAAAATAATGGTGATGGCAATTATATTTCACACAGTAGAAGAAGAAATAGCACGGTAGAGAGAAAATTATATTTTCGTCTTGGACAACAGCAATCTGGAATCGGGTCTTTCCATCTTTACTTTTCCTTGGCCGAGGTTTCTCAATGAGTTGTACTTTTGAGGTCCACTCTTTTGTTTGTGGAGTGATCTTATCTATGGTTAGTCTGTACTCCATATGTTCTGTACACTCTGCATTGGAAAAGAAGAAGAAGAACAAAAAATAATAAATCATCATTTACTGAAAGATAAACTATAGACACCGACAGATAGTAAAATAGAAGAACTGTTAGGACGCTATTTCTGTATAAAGTACACGCCATGACAATTAGAACACGAATTTGGCACCATGAGTTACAAAAGACCATTTATAGTAGTCTTACTGCACTAAACACTCACGTTGTGTAAACATTTATATTTTTTTAAAAGATAAGATTACTGCTTGTCTAAAAACATTTCTGGGATCTTCCTAGACTGCAAAAATTACATATAGGAATCATTTTCTACCAGCATATGCGTATGTTTCTTAGCTCTTGTCCCCTACAGAGAAGTGTCACTTTTGCGGATATTACTTATTAGTATTAACGGCATGTACCAGATCTGCACCCAAGTGTCTCTGTATGACCATGTTAGCCAATATTGCAGCCCATTGTTGTTTTTGTCTTGGGTTAAAACAATCATGTACAGAGAAGATATCCTCTCTAGTTTGCATCACTTCAGTGAATGCATTCTGATTGCTACGAACCAGATTGCGTATCAGCAGTATTTTGTATCAGCTCATCATAGTTTTTTTTAGCTAGGATACTGTGTGCTCTAGTTGCAATATCCTCAGAAAATGGCCTTTTTAATAATTTAATTGTACACAATATTTTCTGTGCAGTGATCATCATAGTTACCTGGTATAGTGGGTTGAATTAGCACTTTCACACAGTTCGAACTCTTTGCTCTAGACAAAGCAACATAAAGTTGACCGTGTAAAAAAAAGGTTCTCGCAAATAAATTCCAACAAAATCCAATGTCTGACCTTGTGCTTTATTTATTGTCATGGCGAAGCATAATCTTACAGAAAATTATGTCCTTTTAAATGGGACAGGCATTTTTTCGTCCTGGGATGATAGTAAGGGTATTCTTGGGATAAACACATGTGTATTTTTTAAGTCACCCACTGAAATATTGGCGTTTATGACATGCGATTTAAAGTAGCAGCAAGTCAAACGTGTACCGTTACATAAACCCTCACACGAATTTTAATTTCGTAATAATATAATTGGACAGCTCTTTTTCAATGTTAATTTGTATGGCGGCAGACCAACTGGATTTAAAGTATGCAGTAAATCCTCATACTGTGATTGATCAGTAGGTTCAATGGTTTCATCAATGCCAACAAAAGTTTTTGCTTCCTCTGGAAAGCGAGCAACAAGCATGTCGTTAATCTCATCAACGAAATCATTCTTAGTTGTTAGGATAACACGGGAGCTTGTGCAGGATGAGGAAGAAAAAAATGTATGCAAATCTGGATAAGTTATCGTGAACAGTTTATCCAAAGATTCCTTTTCAGTTGTATAAAGAACGATGAAGGATGCTGGAATTTCAATCTTATTTGTTGAGGTCACTTTTTCTTTTCCATTTCCTACTCTCAACAAATAATTACAAAATGAAGGATCATCTTTTGCTCTCATATTTTCAAATAACAGCAACCTTTCAAGTTCTTCCCAGATATGAGAATATAGTAAACTTTCATTAATGAAATCTCCTTTTTCCCCGTTTCGAACTACCGGAAGTGTTTGTCTGAAGTCACCTCCAAAAACTACAACCTTCCCACCAAATAGGATCGTTGAATCCATTAAGTCCTTTAAAAGTACATAAAGGAGTTCGATCATTCTTTTTTTCGCCATAGATACTTCGTCCCATATGATTAATTTTGCATCCTGAATCAAACATGCTAGTGAGCTTTGTTTGCTAATGTTGCATGTGACATTCTCGTCAATATTTATTGAAATTTTAAAACGTGAATGTACAGTTCGTCCACTGGAAAGTATAGAAGCAGCTACACCAAAAGTGGCAGTTGCCAATGCTATATATCCTTTAGATCGTATAGTTGCCAGCAACGCACAGTATAAAAAGGTTTTCCCAGTTCCTCCCGGACTGTCAATAAAGAATGCTCCCGCTTTGTTTGCAAAATTTCTCTATGTAATTACATTGTACACTTTGAGTTGATCTTCATTCAATTTTTTGTGTAGTAGTATATCCTCTTCAGTAACAGTGATGGTCCTTTCATAGTATACCTCTTTTGCGTCTTTTGCAACTATAGAAGACCTTATTGTTTCTGGAATGAGATGATATTCATTTATGTCGCCACCCATAGAGTGCCATATGTCGCTAATATGGTTTATAACCATGTATCGTATGTTTCTTTTGTGAATATTAGGTAACAACCTATAATCCTCGGACATGTGCTCTTCAAACTTCTCCCAAAGTTGTCTCGGGTTAGTTAGATTGCAATAGATCAATAATATAGCAAATAAACGTCTCAAACTATATGACATTTGGTAACTTGCTGCTTTAGACATGCATTCTGTCAAACTATTATCACTTGTAGCAATCCGCATTTTTTCACAGATTCTCTAAAACTGCTGCAGCGTTCTCCGTTAACAGTTAGTAAATCCCTATATGATTTTGGTCCTCTAATATTCATTAGTCACATTCTAAGATAGTACTGCTCTCCTTCTGTTGGATGACATGTTACTACACGACCAATAGCATGTTGTTTTTTTCCGGCGCGTCCACATTTTGTCCGTAGCAGACCAAACAAAATGTTCGGGGAATTCTCGGTATAATAGGTTGAGTTCTCCGGCGTCTGTGTTTGTTCTATTCATTTCAAAAAATTGTGTCAACATCGTTTGCTTAATCATCGAATTATTTATAAGTGTATCTATATTTGCGCTGCTTTTAAATGAAATAAATTGTTGTCCTTTAAGGTGAAGCTGAAGAGGGCATACACTCGAGGACATTTCACTAATAGCGAAACCGTACAACCGCCACATAGCTTCCGGAGGCAAGACCCATCTAACAGACTGAAATTCTTTTATCTCGTCTATTACTTCTGTGTTTGTGTCCTTATTGTGTACAAAAAATACAATCTTATCATGTCATTTACATATATACTTGTAAAGATACTTAACGACCTTAATATCAAAACATATCTCAACATTCACATGGCAATCAAATTTTCCGAGCAAAAAAAGATTATATGGAATAACCCATGAGTTATCCAAGTATCGTTCTCTTATTTTTACTACCAGTCCTGTATTGCGTCTTCTACAAATTGGGTAAGATTTTGTTCCTTTTGATGTCTGATCCGCAAAGCTTTTTGGGTATTTGAATTTACAGTAACCTTTTTTCTTCATACAAGAATTTGTTGGGTTTAAATTACCGCACGGACCATGCATCATATATTTAAGAACAAGTGAATATAAATCTGGTTCTGCTTTTTCATCAGGTATTTCTGCACTAATAATATTATCGTAGGCCTCTGGAGTAAGTAACTTGTATTCATTAGTTAATATTATAAGAAAATGGGTATGAGGTAAACCTCGCTTTTGGAACTCTATATTATACA